GTATGATTACAAGCAAGAAATGGCCAAAAGTGGTTTAATGATAAATGCAAGAAAATGAGAGAAAACAAACAGATCCTTTGGAGAATGTTCAGATGACTAAAAGCAGAGATCAAATTAGTGCCATTAAAGATAATAACATTGTTTATACTAAGGAAGAGGAAATGTGTGACATCCTTAATGAGAAATTTCAGTCAATGTTTGTTCAGAACCCTTACTTTGAAATGGCAAGTAACCATACAAACAAAAATCTGAATATCAAAAGTATCACACTCATAAAGAATGAAATAAATGACCTACTAAAAAGCTCAGACAAGACTAAAGCAGAAGGACCAGATGAGATATCTAACTGGGTTCAGAGGGAATGTGCCAAAGAATTATGTAGTCTGTTATTGTTGATATTCCAAAACTGTGTGAGAAAAGGTAAACTACCAAAAGATTGGAAACTTGCAGATATTATACCTTTATACAAGAATGGCAACAAACAAAACTCCCTAAACTAAAGATCACTTTCGCTAACTAGTGTTGTATGCAAGCTGTTAGAAAGGATACTTAGGGAACAGTGAGTTGAAGTACTTGAAAAACCCAATATGATATCAAATACACAGTTTTGTTTTAAGGAAAGAAAGTCATGCATAGCAAATCTGCTCTGTTTCTACGATAGTTTCTGAAATATTAGAAGAAAGAGACGGCTGGGTGGATTGTGTACACTTAGACTTTTAAGAGGGCATTTGAAAAAGTGTCTCATAAAAGACTATTTACATAGTTGATTTAGAGTCAAACATAAGCCCAGGTAGTTATCTGAATATATTTGCAGACGACGCAAAATTATAAAAGAGGATAACAGACGATGTCTTATGCCAATGCCTCCAAAGGGACATCAAAAACTTATTCATCATTTGGAGATGTATATGGAACATGGTATTAAACATCAACAAATGTCATTTAGTCAGGTTTGGAGAAAGTAAAATTCTTCCACTATACCAATTCAACCAAGCAGATAAGGAAAAAGACATTGGAATAATCATAAGGAGGAACCCAAGCCCAAATGATAATATAAATAAATGCCAAGGTTTATAAAAAACTAGGGCTGATTGCCAACATGAAGAGGGAATTCATGTGGATGAAGACATGGTAAAGATTGTCAGTACAACTATCAAAAGACCTAGCTTGAGGATGGTGCAGTGGTATAGAGTCCACACTTAAAAAAGGATACAGATAAACTAGAAAAAAGTTCAAAGAGCAGCCACAAGATGGGCACCTACTCTATGAGAAGTGAGATATGAAGACTATAGAAAATAGGTCTTACTACTTTGGAAGGAAGAAGAAAAAAAGATGACATGATAATGATGTTCAACTACATTAGGGAAGGGTGAAGTTAGACAAAGATGACTTTATCATTTTGAACAAAAGAAGGACAGGAGGACACAGCAGAAAGTTGAAAGTAAAAAGAGGCATGAAAGATGTCAAGAAGTTCAAGTTCCCCAAACAGAACAGTTGAAACATGGAACAATTGCATCAATTTAAAAAGTTATAAGATAATTTAAATATGGTAGATGGAACCATCTGAATTTAGCTTTTCTCCCGTATTAAAACAGCTAGGTAAGAAGAAACACAAACACACACACACACACACACACACACACACACACACACACATATATATATATATATAATTATATATATATATATATATATACATATGCTTATATCTATCTATATGTTTATGTGTGTATATGTGTATGTGTATATATATATATATATATATATTTATATATTCATATATTTATATATATATATATATATATATATATATATATATATATACGTATGTGCATATATGTATATATGTATGAATATGAAAATGTATATATATGTATGAATATGTATATGTATATGCATATGTATAAGTAAATGTATATGCATATGTATAAGTAAATGTATATGCATATGTATATGTATATGCATATATATATGTGTATGTGTATGCGTATGTGTATTTATATATGTTTATATGTATATATGTATATATATTTATATATACATATTTATATATATATATTTTTATATTTTTCTATAAATGTGTGTGTGTGTATGTGTATGTGCATGTGTGTGTGTGTGTGTGTATAATGCTTGCTTATTTTTATGTGTGTATGTGTATAAACATATACATACATAAATATATACATACATATATAAATATATATATACTAATATATATACATATATATATACTAATATATATACATATATATATATACTAATATATATACATATATATATACTAATATATATACATATATATATACTAATATATATACATATATATATACTAATATATATACATATATATATACTAATATATATACATATATATATACTAATATATATACATATATGACTGAGACTGGACTGAGACATAAACAGAGAGCAAACAGACAACAACTGAAAGAGACAGAGAATACATACACATCTATAACAATAAAAGAACATTTTCTCCTACCTGATATGGATTTACATTACCACCTTCTGCAACAGAGAAGTGATGACAAAATACATTAGCAAGAGTACTGTCATGACCTTCCTTTACAGGAACAGCCAGAAGTTGATTGATCTCTTCATAAGTCCAAACACAAAAAGCTCCTTCACGTTTTTCTTTGGCATCATGTGTTGGCAATGAGTCAGCATCCTCAGCACTGTAGAATCCGCCACACTACAAAAAAAATATTACATATATATATACATATATATATATATAGATGTGCATACAGACACACATACACACATACAAACACACACACATACAAACACACACACACATACACACACACACACATGCACGCACACACGCACACACAAACACACACCCACATATACATTTATATTTACATATATTTATACATATGGACAGATAGATAGATAGATAGAGAAATAACTATATAGTTCGTATGTACGGAATGTGCGTAAGTAGAATGTTCTTAAGTAGGGGACTATCTGTATATATTATATATATATACTATATATATATAATATATGTATACTATATGTATACTATATATATATAATAGATGTATACTATATGTATACTATATATATATAATATATGTATACTATATATATACTATATATATACTATATATATACTATATATATAACTTATACTATATAAATATACTCTATATATATACTGTATATATATACTGTAAGTCCCCAACTTATGAACATAATGGGGACCGAGAGGCTGTTCTTAAGTTGGGGACTTACTGTATATATATACTATATATATACTATATATATACTATACATATATACTATATATATATACTACATATATATACAGTAAGTTCCCAACTTAAGAACATAATGGGGACCGAGAGGCTATTTGTAAGTTGATTTGTTTGTATGTCAAAAGTCGGGTCTCCATTACCTTTTTTCCCATTGTGTTAAAGTTTTGTTTACATTAAGAATACCTGTAAATAAATCCCAATAAGTACGACATACCTTATACAGTACCAGACTCTTGAACTATATTCGTGCCCGGGAAATTTGAAGTTTGCTAGCATCTTCCAAATAATTTTTTGGACTATAGTACTTGAAAAATTTTGTTTCTATGTATGGAATGTTCATAATTAGAATGTTCTTAAGTAGGGGACTATCTGTACTATATATATATACTATATATAACAATCCTCCCTGACCTGGCCTCGAACCTAGGTCACTCCAGGGCCAGTACTGAACCAACCATGCCACGTGACCCACTAAAAGGAGTATTACACACTCTCCCCTGGACATTCCATGGAAATTGATTTAGAAATTCGAAACCGAAGTCAGATATCATGAGGTATATATATGAAAGATGGAATAATGAAATGCCACATTCATATAGATACAGTAAGTCCTCAACTTAAGAACATAATGGGGACCGAGAGGCTGTTTGTAAGTTGATTTGTTTGTATGTCGAAAGACGGGTCTCCATTACCTTTTTTCCTATTGTTTTAAAGTTTTGTTAACATTAAGAATACCAGTAAATAAATCCCAATAAGTATGACATACCTTATACAGTACCAGACTCTTGAACTATATTTGCAGCTGGGAAGTTTGCTAGCATCTTTCAAACAATTTTTTGGACTTTAGCACTTAAAAAATTTTGTTTGTATGTATGGAATGTTCATAAGTAGAATGTTCTTGAATAGGGGACTATCTGTATATAACAATCCTCACTGACATGGCTTTGAACCTAGGTCATTCCGGGTATGAGACCGGAGGGCCAGTACTAAACCAACCATGCCACGCGTGTGCAACTAGGATCTAACTAGCTCCATAGGATAAGTCCGATATGCGAAGCTGAGCCTCACCCGGGCTATGTGGGGAGCCCGGCCTGTGCCGACTAATGTCGACTCGCTAATAGTGTGTTAGCAGGTGCTGACTTGGATGAGCTTAGTCCTTACCCACCGTGGTGCCCAGCCACAGCAGTAACCTCCAGGCGACAATTGCAACTTCTCGCGCCTAGGCGGGGCACGAACCGCCGACCCCTCGGATGACAGGCCGACACGTTACCACTGTACTAGCCCGGAGGCTAGCTCCATAGACATTACCTATCTACTCATACATGATTAATGATATATATACCCGGAGCGACCTAGGTTCGAGGCCAGGTCAGGAAGCATTGCTATATATCTATATCAATGCGACATTGCATTATTCCATCTTTCATATATATACACCACAGGATATCTGACTTCGGTTTCGAATTTCTAAATCAATTTCTACCGAGTGCCCATAGGGAGTGTGTGTAAAAAACATATATATATACATATATATATATACATATATATATGTATATGTATATATATACATATATCTATCTATCTATTTATATATATATACATATATATAGTGTAGTACATATATATATAGTATAGTATATATATATATACTGTGTCTATATATATATATATATATATATATATAATATATACATGTAATATATACTTATAATATAT